CTACACAGCGCATTTTGTTGTACGCCGATTGGAGCTCTGGGGGCGGAGTCACAGTCGTATTTATTTGTGGTAGAACCTAACCCTGCGATGCTGCTGAGCCCCCTTTTTCTAAGATATCTCTTTAACCACTTGGCCGATTTGACCCATAATGGTATGGGCTGATAGCTGCGGGCCGTGGCTACACAGCGCATTTTGTTGTACGCCGATTGGAGCTCTGGGGGCGGAGTCACAGTCGTATTTATTTGTGGTAGAACCTAACCCTGCGATGCTGCTGAGCCCCCTTTTTCTAAGATATCTCTTTAACCACTTGGCCGATTTGACCCATAATGGTATGGGCTGATAGCTGCGGGCCGTGGCTACACAGCGCATTTTTCCAAAAATGTATCGTTTCGTTTATGCATCCTCTTGGTCGTGGAGTAATCGAACGTTGAGAATNGGTATGGGCTGATAGCTGCGGGCCGTGGCTACACAGCGCATTTTTCCAAAAATGTATCGTTTCGTTTATGCATCCTCTTGGTCGTGGAGTAATCGAACGTTGAGAATTGGTCCAGGGGGTGTGTTATCTTGTGTCATATACGGTACGTATGCTTTTTTTTCCCCATCGGCAAGATTTGAAGCCTGGATTACAACTTTAGACACAGCGCTCTCACCTGGTCGTGAAGTACTGCCGCGAAATTCTCATCGAGAGGCTCGGTGAAATCCAGCTCCACAGCACTCGCTGTGTCGGCCGTCAAAGGCATCACGATTACACCGCTAGTCGTGCCGGACGTGAATCCTTTTTCCTGCAGCCGAATCTCGGCCTCGTCGCAGGCCTCGTTGATGACGAAGTCGTTGAGAGCGACAAAGGAGCTGTTGCCCGCGGCGACGCTGAGCAAGGGAACCGTGCCCGAAACCTCGCTGGAGGAGAGAGTCGCCGTCTTCAGGATAGAGAGTTCCTCGGCGGTCGTGGAGTCAGACTCTGTCCTCTCCGGCGTCTCGATGAAGTCGGGGCTACCAGCACGATCACCTTGGCAATGATGGCTGGCAATGATGGCTAACACCGCGGGCACAGTGCAGAATAGGACCCGTTTCCGAGGGTAACCGCAGCACGTCTTACTGCCCTCCATTGCTTGATCAACAAACGCGCCTTTTTAAACGGACCGACTTTTTTGTCAAATTTTTCGACATTTGTCTTTCAAAAACTTGGAACCTGTGTGCAGTCATTTTAAACGTGTGACGTGGACTTGTGCAACTTGTGTAAAAAAAACGGATTTGTCTATTTACGCCACCGGTGGCGCAATTTCTTATATGCGCCACCGCTCTTATCTCCGCCCACAGAGCTTCAACTGGCACAAACAAAAAATTGGGGTGTAGCTATGACCCATAGCAATCATACAAGCCAACTTGAAGCAAAATCCATTCGGTCGTTGGAAAGTTATGCTCGAAAAAGGGGGCTCAGCGGCATCAAAAGGCGGGCACCAACCACATATTCCACCGTAACTCCGTGGCCAAAGCTCCATTCGACGTCAAACAAATTGCGCTGGTCGACGGACGTCCATAGCCATCGTTCAAGC